CACCGGCCCTGCGTCCACAGGGGGGGCCTTGGGGGGTGGTGCGCTGCCCGTGGCTGCACCCGTAGTGAGGCTGGGGGCTGGCAAGGCCCCTGCCAACCAGAGGGCATCACGCTCCCTCATGATGGCGCTGATGACATTGCCAAGGGTGGTATGGCCCGTGCACCGGGCTGCCCACTGGCCGCGCGCGCCGCCCCTCCGGGGTGCGCAGAATCAGGTCGTGGCAGCGGCTGGCGTAGGACATCAAAACGTCATAGGGGACCTGGACGTAGTTCACGCTGTCTGCACCGAGCGACTCAGGCGCGGACGGCGCCGGCTCCACGGGGCGGCACCCCACAATAGCCAGGGCCAGGAAGTAGGTATCCATCTTAGCCATATAGGATAGCCAGGACTTGGCGGTGATCTCATCCTCGTCATCCTCTTGGTGGTACAGGTTGCCGGTCAGACGTCGCCGCTTCTGGCTGTGAGTGCGCTGGAAGGTGAGCGAGCGGACTGTCCACAAGTCCATGACCTCAAACTGGCTCCGAGTCAACTGGCGGCTGAGCTTGGACAGAAGTCGGTCAGAGGGATACTGGCGGGGTTTTGGACGCAGGTGGTAGCGCCGAAAGAAGGCCTCTTTCAACTGTTCGAGCTCCTGCTTGGGGAGCAGCGTCTCCTCCTCCGTTGGAGCTGGAGGCAGGCTGGCCGCTGCGTGCTCAGAGTCCAACAAGGCCTTGCACGCCGTCCAAGCGAAGCGAAGCCTGGCAGCCTGAAGGCGCCCCTGCATCTCCTCATAGTTAGGGTCCTTGATGGTGTCAATGAAGAGCTTTTTGATTTCGTCCTCACTACGAGCATAGTGGCGAAACTCCGCAATAGTGCGGATTCCAAGCTCGATGATCTTGTCTTTGATGCGCTGCTCAAAATTAAACTGCAACGCCAGGGCCGTGAATGTGTCCTCTGGAGTAGCAAGCTGCTTGGGGACAGTGGCCATGCTGCACAAACGAAGGTGGCGGGGTCAGCGATGGTGAGCAAAGATGGCTGCAGGAGGTCGTATACATGACAGGGGCGGATGCTGCTCAGCAAACTAGTTGACCCTGCAAGCTGACAGTGATGGTAACACAGCACAAGTGTGGACTCTTTTTGAAAAAACACAAAGGTGTCCATAGCATAACTACTGAAGCCGCTTCGCAAGCTCCCCGAGCTCCAAGCTCAGACATTGTAGCGCTGGCCAGCCGATAGTGTCACCTGCCGCATAGGCCTCATAGTGAGCGGTGTAGAGCAACTGACGGAAGGCAGCACGATCGGCTTCAGGGAGGTTATCATGATGACGCGCCAAATCATCACATGTAGCATGGATCATTGGGGCATAGGGAGGCAAAGTACCAGGTCTCGGGGCCGCCGGCCACAACAGCCCTTCCAGCCGAGGCTCTGGGCGTGCTGCCTCCCTGGGCAGTTCTTGGATCTCATCCCACCATTCGATCCAGGATTCACATAGGTTCTTTGCAGCGCGCAACTGAACCTGTACCACCCCTAGACAAGAGGTGGAGGTTGGGGGAAGGGTCCCCAGGGCCCGGCAGGCCTGGTCCATCTGATCCCCCACCTCCCAAGCACGGGCCCGTCTGGCCTCGCCCTCCAAGGGCACCAGTGTCACGGCAACGAACTGGATCGCCTGAGGCCGGTCCATGGGCACGATGTGTGGGTGTGCAGTACGGAGTTCGCTGAGGACACGGGAAGCTGCAGCAAAAAGGTGCGAACGGAACATAAAATCTAATCGGCATCTGAGAAATGTGAGCCTACCCGTTGGGCCGACCGCCGAGTCCCTGACAGGGGCAAAAACTGGCTTAGCACATGAGACGCCCTCTCGGCCTACCCGGTAGGCGTGCTGTTTCTGAAGGACGGCAGCTATTAGTACAAGTGGACCTGGTCATTGCCAGGAAGCACTGCTTTACATGTGATACAGAAATCTCGCCCATAGGCCAAGGCCTCATGAATGCTGCGAGCTCGGTGGACTTTGCCTCGATAAGCAGCATTGCGTTGGCGCCATCTGCACCAGGGCGCATTGTCCCGCTCCACATGCCAGTGTGAGCCTGCTTTCGTGGAGGTGATGAACGAAATTGGGTACCTCGGCAGCGACGGTGGTGGAATGTTGACCTGACTCCGGGCCCATTTGAAGATGTCAGGGCCGCCACGTCGAGCGAGCACCCCGGCCCGGTCGATAGCCCGCAAACCTTCCAGGCGGGAATACGCCTCCTCGAAGGAGCACCTCCTGATCCATGCGAGTAGCAAGCCAGCCAGCACAGGGGCCCTGTGCACCCCTGCCATGCAGTGGACCAAGACGGAGTAGCCCGAATACAGAGTCGCCAGGAAGATAGGCAGCACCAACTTCAGCTGGCGGTCACGAAGGGCTCCCTGATGGCCAACAGGCACATTGAATTGGTAGACCTGGCGGACGCCGACTCCTCCCCGACAGTCAGCGGCAATTTTGTCCATGGCGCTGAGGCTCATGCCGATGTTGTGGGCCTCCAACCAGGCCCGGTCAGTGGGCAGCCCGCCCAAGTAGATGGAGCCATTGCCAGCTTCGCCCAAGAAGATGAGTGTGGGAGGCTCTGGAGCACCGCTGTGCCCGGGCCGGCGCCAGCGCTCCTGTGCAGCTGCATCGAAGGCCGCATCGTTGGCCTCCTGCAGGTGTTGAGGCCGCTCCGGCGGCGGTTGCAGAACTGAAGGCATAGCCTTGACTTTTGGAGCCGGAGGTGCAGCTTGGGAAGGACCTGCTGCCGCCGAGGATGATGCTGCCCGAGGTGAGGTCGATGGCAAAGGTGGTGGTGCCCGCCAAGATGGAGTGGATGCCGAAGCCGATGATGGCGAAACCACAGGCAACGTAGGCGGCACCCGCGGCGGAGGTGCCTTAGGCGGTGTCACCGGTTGTGCGCTGCCTCCAGCAGCAGCCTTGGGTGGAGGCTCCACCCTTGCCCTCTTCGCCGACCGCGAAGGACTGGTGAACGAGAAGGTCGACACCGTGTTCCGCGGCCCCTGTGAGGGCTCTGTAGCCGGGCCGACCGCCGCGGCTGGGGCCGGGCGCTTCCGCCTGAGCGCTGCAGTGAGCCGTTGTCCAGTAGCCCGGATGATCTGGACTTGAGCAGGAAGCAAGGTCTTGACCACAGGCATGCCCGGGATGGAGTCCATGGACACGCGGCAGATTTGGGGGTCAGAGGCGAGCAGCGCATCAGCCTCCTCCATACAAGTGGCCCATCTGGCAGTAGAGTATCCTGTCGGCAGCTCGTCCCACAAAGCCATGTTGAGGTCCTGGAAGAAGTGTAAACCTGCCAGGCGTAATTGGTGTCCCAAACGTTGTTTCCTCGAGTCATAACGCAGAGGGGTGGTAGCCGCAGACTTAGAGGATTGATCCACCCATTGTCCAAGAGCAAGCCGCTCTGTCTCCGAAAGCCCCACGGACCCGGCCAAGGTCGGGAGCACTCGACGGAACGAGTAGGACGAGAGGCTGGTAACGTCCATAGAAGCAGCCAGGTAGGGGCGTAGGATCCGGACACATTGTGCTGTGCCCACGGGCTGGGCGGTGGCTGAGTCGAACCCCAACCAATGCCAGCGCCTGAAGCCGGCGCCGGCTCTGGGGCGCACTTTGTTCAAATGGGCTCCCAGCACCTGGAGGAGGTCCAACGTACCACAAAACCGTGGAACGCTCCAGGCGAAGCCGCCACAGCTGCCAGTCTTTCCTTTCGTGCACCAGAACACAAGGATGGCCCCGTTCCCGCCGACCAAGTAGCTTCGTTGCAAATGGGTGTACCTGACCACCCCGAACAGCATGGCGTAGGCACAAAACACCATGGGCCAGTGAGGATTGTCAACCATGGATTCCAAAGTGCCCAACAGATGGATGACCATGGAGGGCTCCAAAGTCGCCGCCTGCGCCTGCCCCTGGCCGAGGCGCGATCCCAAACCCGCTCGAGGTTTCACCACTTCGGAGAGGTCGAAGGGCAACTTGAGGTTGCGGACGAGCCACCCCAAAGCCGTATAGGCCCTGGTAGGCGAAGTGTGCTCACGAATAAAGGTAGCCAGGAGGTGTTTATCTGGGATACCTCCACCTGCAGTAGCAATAGCCCCTTGGAGTTCTTGCCATGTGTGCAATGCCCGCTTCACAGTCGCAGCCTCTGCCTTCTGGAGCACCTGCGTGAGCTTGGCCTCGAGGTTGGCAGTGATCTCAGCCAAGCGAGCCGGCGGCGGAGGCTCGACCGCCAAAAGAATGGCCATCAACTGGGGCAAAAAGGTCATGGCACCGCCCGCGGGGCCGCCCGACTGACGGCCCTGGGCGCTGGGCCGGACTGGCCCTGCAAACGATGGCGTTGGTCGTGGCCGCAATGGTGGAGACGTAGTAGGTCGTGGCGCAGCTTGCGAGACTTGTTCACGGCGAACAATATCCCGCACCAGGGCCCCCATGCCAACCTCCGCCTCGCGGCGTGCCTGGTCCCAGGCATCCGCCACAGCGCGGCCTTGCTTCAGCGCTTCTTCGTAGGACACGAAGTAAAACGCCAGATCGGATGGCCGCTCAATGCCATGCGCAGCGCACCACCGCTCCAGCTTCTGCTGTTCAGCGGAGCGGCGGACCTGAGCGTCAGCGCTCTCCATGGCGGCAAAAACCGGGAAGAAAAAGTTTAACTTGAGGTTCCAGCAGCGACACTGCTCCTCAAGGGGCGTCTCCCCAGTTTGGCTTGAGCATTCAAACATTGGGAGACGTTAATCCGAAGCTTCCCAAATAATTCATCATCACCGACCCTGCCTACCTTAAATGATTGAATATCTCTTCCATCATGTGTTTATGCCCGGACCTATGGGAAGCTTTCAGATCAACAGCTTTCAATATGTCAAGGGGACATAGGTTTGAGTTCCCTTTCCCATGGGATCCCATGCCCCTGTGGTCAATCGGATTCTCAGCTCCGGTGACCGGTGTCAAACGTGGCGCGCGATGCGAGCGGCTCAGGGGCTGGGCACTGGCATGCTGGGCACCGGACTGTTCTGAAGATGGAAGATATTCCCCTTTCCCGGGCTCGTAGTAGCCATCCTGCTGTAAGGCCCATGGCCAGAAAGCAAGTGGAGAAGGTGGCGACGTGCCAGAACCAATATGGTTGTGTATATTTGTGTGTCAAGAATAGGGAGACCTTCCAAAGACCAAAGACCCCCTGGAAGAAGGAAAATTAACAAAAACATACAAAAAACAATTCGTTGGGGTCTCCTTTGTATATAACAATCATAGAATCTGATTATATAGAGTAATATAGGTGGCAGAAAGGTCGTTGCAAGTTGCATCACAAACCACCGCTTCAATGGCCCTACAGGGGAATCTGAATAGACTCCCGCGTCGCCCCGAACATGGGCAACAAGCCGATGGCCAAGAAGTTCGAATAGCTCAATGAGGAATAAACAAAACAAAACGGTGTTTCAGAAGGTGTTCGCCTTAACGGTCCTAATAAGCCGCGCGAGGCAAAAATTGTGATTGTCAAAAATCCGTAGTACCATGTAGTAGTAAGTACCCGCAGGGCCACTGAGAAGTGCGTTAACGGCTCTTGAGTTTTTGCACACTTGTTGTTGTCATCGGATTTGCAAGAAAGTATATAATCGATTCATAGTCATAGTCATTGTCAGCGATGTATGGATGTGGGTGGGGTGGGTGGCTAAAGACGATCGATTCGAAATGCATCTGAGATGAAGCTACATGCACACACGTGTTGGAAGAGGGGTTGTTCCAACCAAGGCTCCATGTAAGCAGGACTACGAGCTCGTGTTCTTCGTGTTAGGTGGGATGCAGCGAGCTTCCAACCAACCAAGGCTCCAATTTTCGAGCGCTCAAATTCCCCCTGCGTCGCTATTGATTGGGACCGTTACCTTGTTCACGATTCGGGCTAGCGGAACTTCCTGTGCAAAGGAGTGGCGCGATTCCCAAGTCATGATTCAAGTCATCACTCCTGATGGGTTCGGCAGTCACTGTCTTGTGGTTATTTTGGGGTTCCCCTGGTCCCCTCCCCGCATTTTTGGGCACAACTTCCAGTCTTCATTCTATCAGGCGAGGTTTGCATCCGAGGACTGCGACTTTGGAGGAGGTTCTTCCCATCTTCCTCTGTGGCCTCAGAACTGGTGTTGCGCGGTCGGAAGCTTCAATTCTTCAATGAATGATTTGAACTTCTTCAAGTCCCCACTCCAAATCATGAGGCTTTGAACAGTCGGACTTCCCCAGTCTTGCACACCCCCCATCCGCCCCAACGTCTCATCCGTGACCTCTTGGGTTTTCCGTCCATCCACCCGTCCATCACCTCGAACCACAGCGGCCTGGAGGGCCATGGCCTCGGAGCGCGCCGTTCGCGAGGCCAGGAGCCCCCGGCCGTTCGTAGCGTTCCGGGAGGAAAGCGAAGAGTTACAGTCACCCGAATATGCTTCGCTCGGACTCGGAGTTACAGAACGCCCATTCCTCCCAGAACTTTCCATGTTCCGCCCCCCCCCGATTTCGGCGTCGTCGTTCTGGCCTGCCATGCATAGTGGATTCGGAGACCCCGGGCCCCGATCTGGGTGGGCCAAAGACATGGCCTGCGGGCAGAAACATATCACGCAGGTCGAGGGCTCCACGAAACGAGCGCGAGCGACCCAGCTCGGAGTTCTGAGGGCAAAATGCCAATCACCCAATTGTTTGTTGGAAGGGTGAGTTTCCAAGAAAAAACATCCTTTATACCTCCTTTTCCAGTTCAGTCTGGCATTAGGATGGACCCAGCAGTTCCACAAGTAAGTCGATCTAGAGCAGGATGATAATGCAAATCGGCAAGTATCGTTTCTGTGAATGGACTTCCCAAAGGCAACGGTCAGCGTCGTGCGACCTGGGTTCCTTCCGGAACGGAACCGGTCCGTTCCGGGCGGCCTCGCGACCTGCACCTCTTGGACCCGAAACGAAAGAAAAGCCCAAAACCCCTTGAAACTGGTCAATCAGGAAACCAGCAACCAGGCCAACCAGGATCACGATCGAAGCACAGGGCCAATCCAAGCAAGGGCAAAGACCATGAAAAAGCAAAAGGTCAAAACAAATCTTGATCTAAAACAGCACGCGGGCGCAGCGCCTCCCCCCAGCAGCCAACAAAACCAACCGCGCACAAAATCAAAGGTCTGTTTCCTTCCTTTCTTCCTTCCTTCCATCTATATATATTTTTTTATCATGAGAATAAAATGGGTCTTTTTGTTGACCCTGTGAATATGCTGTTTGATCCTGATAATGTTGTTCAACCCTGACAATAAGATACAATAAGGTGTTTTTCATCCTGATAACATGTTTGATGCCCATGCCATCCAGGAGCCCATTCTAAATATTCTAAGGGAAACTGTGCATATGATATCCCTACATTTTTCGCTAGCTGCTAATTCTTCGTTCTCTTGCAGGATCATCCTCATCGTTCTGACCCCGACTGTGGCTGCTCAAGAAGCCTTTTCAACGACGTTGCGCTGCACATGCAGACACATGAACTATAGACTGGCTCAGCGCTGGCTTTAGCCGCTGATCTCAAAGAGAATCCCCCGTGAGGTTCAGAACATTCACTGATTGTCCTCTGACAAGATTGACAAGCTACTTGGAGGCCAAAAAACAACACTTCTGATTTCAGGTACGCCTGCCAATCGGTCGCCATCGTCATCTTCCAAACCCTCACGAGGTGACTATAGAGCGATGCCGGAGCGCCAAGGAAAATCGAAGGAAACAACCCTCGATGTTCACACACGCGGCCGGAGACAGTGCCGCAGATGTTCAACGGCATTCTCATTCGGGCGAAGACTGGCCGCCGCTAGCCGCATAAGCTCTAAAAAAAGATTATATAAATTATACCAATAACAATAACATAAAAAGCGTAGCGCAACGGTTCGTTTTGTTGACAAACCGACAAGCTGTCTGGCAGGTTGACCAGTGCTATTGGGCCTCCAACATGGAATCCGCTCCATTTACTATGACATCCCATGTGGGTGGGTCGAAGCCTTTTGAATTCAGTTTGCCTCAACACCTTTCATCTTGTTGCAGATAGGGCTTTCTTCAGATATCCCTCCAAAATAAACTCCAGAAACGGTGACCTGATGCTACGAGTAGACTGTGGGACGCGCCTTTGCCTTTCGCGACAAGTACTGTTGACAGTGCTTTTTCGCATCCTAAGCTGGTATGGATTCAGGTAGCGTTTGATCTCGGCCCCAGCCCTGAAAGGGACCGCCGGCTACTCACAAGCCAACCGTGGGCCTCCAGCGCCTCCATGCTTCGGAGCGGAAACTCTCTCTGTCTTCGCCAACGTCACCGGCCAGCATCACCGGCCCTACTTTGGGTGTCCAAATGTTCAACACAACTTGCAAAGACATCTGATCATCTGGTCCCATCAGTGATTGTTCGTGGTTTGGATCCGTTGCTTCCGCAAAACAAAACCCTCATGTCGAGCAACAGGCTCGGACAGGTCGATCAAAAAATCCTCCATCATTGCTTTCGCCAATGCAACCGGTGTGGGATGGGCCGCGCAGTTGCCACGCTCCAAGACGCCCCCTCAGGGACGTGGTGCGCTGCGACATGCTGCGACAAGTCTTACCGCGACACACCCGGCTCCAAAGACCAAAGGGTTAAAGGCCGAGGGCAAGGGCCCGCCAGGCCTGCTCGATGAAACACATGTCCGAGGCCTACTTTAGTGGTGGAGGGGTGTCCGTTGGTGTCCCTTGGAAGGAGCTGGCAATACCGAAAATGGTGTGAATGGGCAGCCAGTTGACCAAGCCCCAAGAACCGCTGTCTACCCTGTGAAAAGGACTCCTACCTGTCACACGGGGCAAGTGCAAAACAAATCGACTGCCATCCACGAAACCCAGGCTCTGGCCTCCTTTCTGGGCCATCATGCCCAAACCTCGCAAGGAGAAATGGTATGAACTGGCAACTGGGTGGCCTCCAGCCATGGAATCCGACCCAAAGCCAGCCAACGGGATTTCTCCAACTGGTAGAGGAAACATCGTTCCATGCAAGAGTTTGCTCAAGCTTGCACATGTTATTCTAAAATATTCTAAAGGGAGATTCTATGTCTATCGTTCTGTGGTTGGGAGCCACAGGTGGGCCAATGCATGGATTCTTTATGCGGATAGAGTCCTGTGGGACTCTATAAAAACTGTTGGCTACTGTAGTCTATAACGAAAAGACATTGCACCTGCACCATAGTTACTGCATGTTACTGCCATAGTTCCAAGTGAATCTGTGTGTCAGTCATCGAATCGAACAGGTGACAGCCATCGAAACCCCCGTCATCAGCTGATGCTTCGCGACGTCTCTTATCAGCTGTGCTTTGCTGGAAGATTGCTATCAGCTCACAAGCATCCCCACAGGCCCAACGGAAAGGCCCAAAGGGCCTTCTTGGCCGACAGCATCCTCCGGAACTTGCCATCCTGTATGCGAAACGCACTTTGAGTTTGGGCTGTGCTTCACTAGAGCTCAGTGAACTTCCCGGGAAGTATAACTTCTAATGAAATGGAAACCTCCGTGATCACCCACGTCCTTTCCATGCCTACACACCTGTGACAACATTTCCTGGTTGGCCTAAGCAAGGCATTTGAAGGCAGGATAGAAGAGAACTGTCCAAACCCAAATTCAACTTTGGGACATGTACGCTGGTCTTCCCATATGAAAACTGCCCCTTTCAAAAGCTCTCCTCAAAAAAACGGATCTCCAAATCTCAAGAAGGACTCCACCTATTTGACATGACATCACTTTCATGTGGAATAAGCGTTTCAAATGCGCCATTGACCGGGCGCTTCTGGACCGGAATTTTATGGCGCGACGCTCCACGTCTACGTCTTGGAATCTCACCGGACGATTCTGCAACTCCTTCACGGAGCCTTTCCTGGGCAAAAATGACGTGTGAAGGCAATGGGTTGTATGATGTTGCATCAGTTTAGGTCCTTTCTCGGCATTAGGCATTATTGGTGTCTGCAAGAGTTAACGAATGCACATCTTTGCTTCGTGTTGTTGTTTGTTTCTCTGTCTCTCCCGCTCCCCATCGCCAAACATATATTATGATTATTATATATGTATATTTATATATATATATATACGCAAGTCCGAGTCTGTGTGTATGCCAGGCAGCGTTCTGGAAGGCGGATGGGTATCTCAATGTTCTTCAGCGTCCAAAAGCCCGAAACCCTGAACTATATAAGAAAGCAACCTGCCTGACAGTGCCAGGACTGGCCAGGACGCATGGTTCGGCCCCACACCAATCAACTTAACTGGGCATTGTTGGTTGTTCCTTTCACCGGTGGGAATTGCCGAGAACTTGATCATTGAACGTACATTTTGAGTGAAAGTCTCCAAATGTTACATATAATTGTAATATCACTGTCATCGAATTGCCAAAACCGATGAGAAAGCTTCAAATGCCTAAAGTCCCTTTCGGGGTTTTGTGTTCAGGGAATTTGCTGCCCTCCCAAAGTGCTTTGGGACTTGAACCATGAGTCCTGGACGAAAAGCATCGACCGTCAGCCTGTCTTGCTGTGCTTTCTTGCCCTAAAGTCATGTTTGATCTGGGGGTCCCAATCTTGGGAGTTTTGCGTGATACAGCCCATCAATTCGCTCCCATCATGAACGGGAGCACATTTGTGAGACCATGTGAGACCTGATTATTCTTCCGGTTTTCCACTAACACCAACAGCCACCAACAACAAGGCATCACCACTCCCCCTGTGCTCAGACATCAAGCGTCTCAGCCACTTCACCAGCATCAAGCACCACAAGCTGGTCGAAGTCCAGGATTGTTTCTAAGCCTCAAATCACCCAGGCCCGAGGAAACTTGCATTGACCAGCGGCAATGACTGGTGACGGCAAGGTATGTGGAAAGCATGTCAAGAACCGTCGGTGGAGCTCTCTTCCCCTTACAAAGAGATAAAAAATTGCCAACATTGCCCCCCCTTCTGGCCCAAAGCTCGGAAACTGCGTGTGCACAGCCAAAAATTATATATATATAGCCGTTTATAGTTATTATAGCTGTTTACAGTATATATGTGCAAGCCGGATTGAATAAGATTGCGCTGGATTTCATCAGTTCTAATCCATGTTTCCTTCTTATGCCCCCTCCCAATCATGGAAAAAGAATTGGAAAACAATAAAAATATAAAAAGCCCCAATGCTTTGCTTCCTGTTTGCCTCCCCTTGGCTCCCAAAATCTTCATCTCCCCCATTGATGCTGCTGCCCCCGGTTCCTCATCTGTGAACTTGTGGTTTCACTCGTGGCAAGTGGCACGAGGCATGAAACGAGGCTTCTGTCGAATCCGTGGCCTCTCGACACAAACTCGTTGTGCTACTGGGAGCAAGGACGCTACTAGGGGCTCCTGGCCTTACTACTAGGAACAAGAAGCTACTAGGGGCTCCTGGCATCGCTACGAACGGAGCAAGTAGCTACTACAGACAGGTTTTCTTTCCAGGTGCCCAACGGTGAGCAATGGCCACCAGCGTGGAGTCAGGGAAGGCATGGCCTCACCCGCGACGGGACTCGCAAGCACATGGCACCGGGAGTAGCATGGAAGGCCACTTCGCCCCTCCCCCAGCGAA